AAGTCTTTTCCTTATTCAATGCAGTTACTTGAGCGATCAGCAGCAAAATGATATGCGAATAATTGGGGAGGGGGAGGGGTGGGGGTAGTGGGGTACCGTAGTTGGCCATGTCAGAGTTTACAAAATGGATCTCTATGCTGTTTGATGCGTAGACCACTACATTGACGTTAAGTTAGGATTTACTCCGATGTAAGTATTTGCATAAACATACGTTTTTTTTAGGCTGATGTGTGCCAGATAACCTGACTACTCCAGTACCGGAATACTGGCACTGGACTAGTATTGCTTTATTTAATTCAGAACTCGTTCTGTTGACTTAAACCTGAACTGTAGGTTAAAGACGTTTCTTTCACAGCTGTGCTGGATAAAAAGAATAAAGTCACAAACCGTGTTTATAATAAAATAAATAAAAATGAGGTTTTGCATCATAGCTGGTGTCTCAACAAAAATTGATTTCTTAAGGCGAGGCCAAACGATGTTGGACAGATAAGGTCCACAAGTAACAAGAGATAAACATCATTTACGCGACGTAGGTGGGACAAATTAGCTTCTGAGTAGAATATGTCATTTGTATTACTGTATTGTGAAAGAAATCTTGGAATCGGTCAGTAACCATTAATTGCGAATTATACGGTATATAAATGTGGTTCTGCTGTTTTTCGTTCTCTTTGCACTTCGCGATTCGTTTTCTCTGTGGTGGTTACGGGTCATCGAAAGAATTATATTCAACTTGAAGTATTGTAGGGTGGATAGAGATGGAGAACGATCCGGATACTCTGATTGAGTGGCTGCAAAATGGCACAGAAGAGGGTCGTGACATACAGCAGATTGCTTTAGAACAGCTGTGTATGATGTTGCTCATGTCAGATAACGTTGACCGTTGCTTCGACCGTTGTCCACCTCGAAAATTTCTTCCGGCGTTGTGCCATATTTTTATGGACGAAGCAGCGCCGGACAGCGTACTAGAAGTATGTGGCATGGATCACGTATCGTCGTTGATGTTACTTATGTCTTACTGTAGGTTACTGCTCGTGCATTGACTTACTATTTGGACATATCAAGCGACTGTTCAAGACGTATCGTCGTAGTCGACGGTTCTGTGAAAGCTATATGCAATCGCATGGCGACCTCAGATATCAAGAGTCGTACTAGCAAAGATTTAGGTAAGACCAATGATATCAGTGATAATAATGAAAATAATGTCATTTCGTAATGTTATCATTTATATAAAAAAATTTGCAATTCTACTGTTTGACATGGATTTATACATGACCTTTATTGCTGTTCCACGACGTTAACTTTTAATTATATGAAAAGGCATGGATCAGTGTTTCGATTAACGGAATGCAAACCATCCATAAATCTCAAAATGGTAACAGGTAGGAAATTGCAAACAGCCATGAAAAGTTGCAATTCATATAAAAGCAATTTAGGTCTGTCGTTTGTCCGATTTCACAGGGTTTCATCACACAGTCCCTGTTTTAGCGATATGGGTGATCTTTAAATAGCTTAGAGCTCCATAATATTGTAACACCTGTAGTTGGATGCAGTCTACGTAAAATGTTCTCAGAAACCATGAAGGGGTATATCTCACTTAAGAAATACAATGTAGGCATTTCGTTTCATGCTACTTTGTGAATATGCATTAAGTAGGCACGCACCGAATACTTAAAAATGCAAGGATTTTGATTGATCAAAACACCCATTTCATGCACTCTAGCTAACGACGGACAGTGCTAATTATGTAAACCTGACCAACATCAGAAAATTTTCTCCTTTGAACATTTTTGGTTAATAATCAAAACAGCAAAAAAATATTCCTGTTGCGGAAACAGAAGGATGGTGTGCAACATTGCAGTTATTTATTGTAATATTTAGTACATTTGTACCATTAGCAAATTAACATCATCTTGACACTGCAGCATTTGTGCGTGACCTTCAGTAAGTTCATCTTCGCGATCTTTGGAGTTTTTGGCATTGACGGTAAATAAAATAGAGGCGGTCAAAGACTGATCGACCAGTATATGGCGGTATTGAAAAATGTAAATCCAAATGTTGCTGTTTTCGTGTTGTTGTTAGTGATGGCGATGATGATTATCCTGTTGATGCTGCCGTTGGCGATAATGATGATAGCAATAGTGATGATGAAGAATTTGTTCTTGCTGATATTGATCATGAAGATGATTTTGCTACTTCTACTCATGGCGGTGTTCTGCTGCTGTTGGTGATTCTAATAATGATGATTGGGGTGAGGCGGTGGTGTTGATAACGATTGTGAAAAGCTGGTGACGATGATGAAGATAATGTTATTGGTGATAATAATAATGATATTATGTGATTATTATTCGACACTAATAGTAGGCAATTTGATGAGTCAAGGAACTACCGCGAAGCTTCAACTGTTTTAGAATTCAATTAAATTATTTTATTATTAGAATATTTTATTTAATGACTTCTAATATGTTTACTCTTATTTATCTTGAAGAATTGTTATGGTTCTTTGATTGGCTACAGTTGTAAGCATATTCAAGCAGGCCAATTTCAGTAGCATAGTCCTCTGTGCAATTTTCAGTGTATTAATCATTTTTGAACGACAACACTGTAGTTACATTTGTCTATTT